GGCTGAGCAGTAAAGGCCACCACTTGGTTTCAGTAAAAGCAAATATATATCAAATCTTCGACTTTTAGTAGCTTGTTAGCTTCAAATAACTCATAAGTGTGTTTTCAAGTGATCGAGTTGGACTGAATGAACACATGAACATGTTTTCTTACCCCATTCTACTTGGTTTCTTCAAGAACAATTCATCATTAGGTCATTATCAAGCCGGAAACTTATTGTTTTTACTTACGAATTGATAAGATTTTGGAAATAATATGTGTATCGAGACGGAATGCAATAGTTGGATACTATGACTACTGCTTCCAGTACACCGATTCATCATTCCTCCATGCTTTTTTATGTTGAGTAACTCAGAAATCCTGTGTTCCAAAACTCATGTAGTATTAGTGGGGATGGCAGCTATGTAGTCCCTGTATAATGTGCAAGGGAACAAAAGTAGAGTAAAACATAAGAGCAACTCCAGCGTTGAAGCCCTCCCCCCAGGCAATGCACTATACAATCCACCTAATGAACAGTAATAGCCCTGACAATAGCATTTGCATCTCCACCGTTACACTTCAATAGCCCTAGCAATAGGCAATAAAATATTAGTATTTTTTTTATTTATAAAATAATACAAAATAATTTTAATTGTAATATCGGATAAGATTTTTAATCGTTCTTGTTGCGCCACGTGTCATTATCCGAAGTATTATTAAATAATTTTAATTGTAACATCCGATAAATTTTTTAATCGTGCTCGTTATGCCACGTGTCATTATCCGAAAATACAATTACTGATGATGGATTTCTGATAAGATTATTAACCAATTACGTCGCGCCACGTGTCATAATTTGTTCACAATCCTTAAGGATAGATTTCCATTAGATTTTTAACGAATGACAGCATGCCACATATCATAATCTGTTCACAATCTTTGAGGATAGATTTCCATCAGATTTTTAACGAATGACAGCATGGCACGTGGCCTTATGTACAACCTAATCCTTTCTGAATCTTCTATATAATCCACCATCCATCCTCACAAATCTCACACCAATTTTCTCAAGATCTCTATCATTATTCATAGTTTCTGCTTCATTCTTTACAAAAATCTGTATCATTATTCATAGTTTCTACTTCTTTCTTACAATGTCTTCTTCTTCCTCAAGGATGATTTGGGAACTCGATCAGGAAGAGGAAGAATTGTTTAACCAATCAGAAGCAATGTTCAATCACCAGGGGGCAAACAATGAGAGGGAAGAGGATGAGGAGCGTAGAAGGAGAGATGACGAAGTAAGAATGGGCAGAACCTCACATTCCCGTCGAGTCATCCAAGCTACGGCTCAGATCTGCAGGCCCAGCCGTTCCGGAAACCTTGATAGAAGCAGGCAACGACGAGGTATGGAACTTTTGGATGATTATTTTGTTCCTAATAATGCATTCTCTGATACGTACTTTAGACGTCGTTTTAGAATGGAACAACATTTGTTCAACAAAATCATGATTGCTGTTTGCAACCATGATTCTTACTTTGTGCAAAAGAAAGATGCTTTTGGTGTTATGGGTCTACTACCAGAGCAAAATATTACTGCTGCCTTGCGGATGCTTGCATATGGAGCATCTGCAGACCAAGTCGATGAGATAACGAGGATAGGGAAATCAACCATTCTTGAGTCCCTGATGAGGTTTTGCGGAGCCATCGAATTTATCTACACCGCTGAGTACCTCCGCAAACCTACACACATGGACTTGGAACGACTGTTGAAGAAGGCGGAGATGCGTGGCTTTCCTGGGATGATTGGAAGCATTGATTGTATGCACTGGACGTGGAAAAACTGTCCAAGTGCATGGCAAGGCTCTTACGGGGACAAAAAAGGAGCAAAAAGTATCATTCTGGAGGCGGTGACATCTTTTGATACATGGATTTGGCACGCCTTTTTCAGGATCCCGGGAGCTCAAAATGACATCAACGCCCTTGCCCAATCCCCAGTGTTCAACGATGTCCTGCAAGGAAAGGCACCAATACGTATGAGGTCAACAAACGTATGTACGACGGGCCATATTACCTAGCTGACGGCATTTACCCGTAATGGTCAACATTTGTCAAAACAGTGCCACGTCCGCGGAGTGCAAAGGAAAAACACTTTGCAAGCTGTCAAGAGGGGTGCAGGAAGGATGTGGAGCGTTGTTTCGGTATCCTCCAAGCTCGCTGGGCGATCGTCAGGGGTGCTGCCAGATTGTTTGATGTAGAATCGCTTCGATCCATCATGATGACGTGCATCATTCTTCACAACATGATTGTGGAAGATGAGTACAATTATGAAGCCGTTGATGAATATAAGCCAGACACGATGAACAATTCAAGAACACGTATATATTGTGCTCATGACGCCACCGATGAGCCCGTGCAACATGAGCCATTACAAAGGGATGGACGTTACAATGAAAGGCTCATTCAACGATATACTGCATTTCAAATGCCAGACATGCACAATACCTGACAAATTGATTTGATAAAGCACTAGTGGACATTGAAACAAGCTGAAGATAATTAAGTTCATTTAATGTGTTTTATTATTTGGTATGTTTATGCAATTTTTTTAGTGAGTTTTTAATTATTCCGTATGCTTATGTAATTTTATTTGGTGTGTTTTTGTCATTTCAATAAATATTCTCTTAGTATAAATAACTTACCAAATTAATTTGAATAAATATTCAATAAATTGGAAACAACATAAATAATACAAACAATAAATAATAAATTACAACCCAAAGTGATTGGAAAATTATAGGCTCCGATTACAAAAAGTACTCTATTCATCATCACTTAACCAATTTGTGGTGCTAGGATGATCTTCTCTTGTGGTGCTAGAACCACCTTGGCTTGCTATCACTTCTCTTGCATGCCTCCTTCGCACCACGTCCGCTTTCTCTGACTTCCAAAAAAATTTAGAATTTGGAGACTTCCCTTCTAAAGGCGTGTTCATAATCTCACGATCTTGTTGAGCCCGTCTTTCTTCTCTAACATGTTCCCTTTCTTGCCTAAGTAGCTCTCGTTCTCTCTCATTAGCATGAAATTCTCTCTCAACAGCTGCTGCTTTTGCGTCCTCTCTAGCCTTATCAGCCTCATATTTCGCCAGTTCCCTCGCCAAAGTCATTTCACCTTGGCGAGTAAGTTCTTCCATGAACTTTGCATAATCATTCTTGGAAGCACTCCCTTTTCTCTTTGAAGCCTTCTTACCTTGAGGCCTAATTGGATAATGGATCGAACCCGACGCTTGTTCAAGGAGGGGCGTTTCGGGCACTTCTTCTGCATCATCTTCATGAACATGATTGGGTGCAGAGTGTAGAGGGGTGATGTTCATGTGCACTTATGGACCGACTGGCACAACTCTAAATTTAGGACAATCTTTGACAATATTCTAACATTCCCACCGGTTGAATAATTTATTTTTTGCTTTTGGTTTTGGCAGCGTACCAAGCTTGTGCTTGAAGTTCCTACGCAATGAAAATAAGTAACAAATAAAGAATTATAATGAAAATAAGTAACAAATAAATAATACAAACAACATAATTATAATGTAAGTAGGTAACAAATAAATAATACAAACAATAAATAATAAATTATGTAGGTAACAAATAAATAATACAAAAAAATAATTATAATGTAAATTTGGGTATCAAATAAATAATATATTGTTACCTGATCCGAGTAATTTTCCCCACTTCGAATATTACTACTAGCTTGTGTCAAGGCGTCTCTCCACGTACTAAACGATTGGTTAAGTAATTTTCAACGACTGGACATTGATTCTTTGGTTCTTTGCCCACCAATTTTGTCAAGGTAATTGGTATGAATAAGACTCCACATTTCTCGCAACTGCATCTCATTACCCGTAAGCGAACTATGAGTAACTTCAACCCAGCTAGTACACAACGCAACATCTTCAATAAGCGACCAATTCGTACCTGCACCAATGGTCATTTTGTTGAAAAAAAATGGATTCAAACTTTGAGACAAAGAAAGGAATGTGATTGAAAGTAGTTGAGAAAATATGAAATTGTTGTGTAAGGTAGATGATAATGAGAAGGTATTTATAGAAAAGTAAAACAATTTTTTTTACAATTTTTTTCAGAGTTTTCAAATTTTTTTTTGAATTTTTTTGAATTTTTTACAATTTCTTTTAAATTTTTATTCAATTAATTAATCTCTGCCGTTGGATATAAAAAAATTTGAATTCCAACACTCCAGATTGTGCCACGTGTCCCAACGGTAACTTTTCTTAATTTTAAAACTATTTTTTCTTTTATTTTTTTATTTATAAAGAATATTAATATCCACCGTTGATCTCAGATCGAACGGTGGATATTAAATAATGCTTTTTTATTTTTTTTGACCGTTGAGATCGAACGGTCCAAATTAAGTAACCGTTGAGATCTAACGGACCGTGGGAAGTCACGTGACTTCCTAACGGTAACTGACAAAGTTTTTTTCTTCTTCTGATTTTGTGTCGGTGACGCGCCCCCACGCGCGAGTGGGGTGCACGCGCTTGACACAAAAAATTTAAATATTGCGCTGACGCCAGGCTGACGTCATATGGCCTCAGGCTCTCGGGCTGGCAATTCCCCACGGGCCCAGAGCTCGGGCCTCCACCTTCCCTCGGGCTAGCCCATGCTGTAGCTGATCCACCAGGCCTCGGGCCCTTGTTCTGTCCCTGTCCCCCGAGCTATAGCCCACGCTGGGCTTGCTCTAAGAAAAGCAACAAACGGCTATAATTTGTGAAGGACCCAGCTGGCATTAAAAATCAACTTTCAATTATTAAGGCCAGCTGTAACATATTGACCATGTTCTCACTACGCATAACCGTATTGACCATTATTAGGTCTTTGTTTTTATTTTATCCATTGAATGATATGTGAGTGGCTGGATGAGAGATGGGCATATCAAGACTAGCAGGAGGAGCCATCTTTCACTGTGCAAAACTATATTCTTAGTTACAATCTTCTACTTTAATTCACTTCACCTGGGTTTTTGCTTGTCCTGAATACAAGAAATGGCAGAAGGAGTTCTTTTCAATATTGCAGAACGGATCGTTGTAAGACTTGGCAGCCGTGCTTTCCAACAGATTGGATCGATTTGGGGTGTCCAAGATGAGCTCAACAAGCTCAAGGAGACAGTTGCCGGATTCCAAGCTGTTCTTCTTGACGCTGAGCAAAAGCAAGCCAACAACAATGAAGTCAAACTGTGGCTCCAAAGCGTAGAAGATGCAGTTTACGAAGCCAATGACGTGCTGGATGAGTTTAATACTCAAGTTCAGCGGAGACAAGTGATGCGTGGCAATACTAAGCTGTCAAATGAGGTATGCCTCTTTTTCTTTAGATCAAATCAACTTGCTTTCTGGCAAAAGATCATTAGATCAAAGATATTAACGAGAGGATTCGAGAGGTTCCATCTCGGAGAACATTTTTATAGTCACGTAAGCCCATTGATATTCACCTATTAGGAGTACAATAGGTCTCTCAATAACTCATAATTAGCTGCAATAAATCTTCTCCATTATTGTTTTGAATGTTTCATACAACTTACTGTTACAAAACTCTATTAACTTATTAACACAGCTCTATCGAAAAAATGATTGTGTCTACTCAAATTCTTACAGGTGCGCCTTTTCTTTTCTAGCTCAAATCAACTTGTTTTTGGGTTAGAGATGAGTCATAAGATAAAAGATATTAACAAGAGGCTTACTGAGGTTGCATCCCGTAGACCCAATGACTTAAACAATAATCGTGAAGATACAAGATTTATATTCAGAGAGAGGGTCACTCACTCATTTGTCCCTAAGGAAAATATTATAGGGAGAGATGAAGATAAAAAGGCAATTATCCAACTTTTGTTGGATCCCATCCCAACCGAGAATGTGTCAACCATTTCCATAGTTGGATTTGGAGGATTGGGGAAAACTGCACTTGCCCAACTCATATTCAACGATGAGGTGATTCAAAATCATTTTGAGTTGAAAATATGGACATGTGTCTCTAATGTATTTGAGTTGGATATAGTTGTTAAGAAAATCCTGAAAGTTGACAAGCTCGATAAGAAGCAGCGTGATATGGTGGACGAGCTTAACATGGATCAACTGCAAAATGATCTTAGAAAAAAAGTAAATGGGAAGAAATACCTACTTGTGTTGGATGATGTGTGGAATGAGGAACCACAGAAGTGGCTTAGCTTGATGGACTTGTTAAAAGGTGGTGGAGAAGGTAGTAGAATATTAATAACCACTCGTACTGAAACCGTTGCGATTGCATCACACACAACTAAACCGTACACCTTAAGGGGTTTGAATGAAGTGCAAAGTTGGTCTTTATTTAAGAAAATGGCTTTTAAAGATGGAAAAGAACCAGATAATTCAACAATTAAGGCAGTTGGGATGGAGGTTGCAAGAAAATGTCAGGGAGTTCCACTCGCTATAAGGACGATAGGTGGGATGTTGCGCACCAAACATCATGAAACAGAATGGTTTAATTTCAAAGAAAGGAAACTTTCAAAAATAAGCCAGAACGATTATGAAATTTTACCAACACTTAAACTAAGTTATGATGTGCTCCCATCACATTTGAAGCATTGTTTTGCTTATTGTAGCTTGTTCCCACCTGATTATGAGATCTCTGTACCAAGATTGATTAGACTTTGGGTGGCACAAGGGTTCATTGAGTCATGCGACGAAAACGAGTGTTTGGAGGATGTTGCGTTTGAATATTACGGGGAGTTGTTGTGCAGATCGTTTTTTCAAGAAGAAAAAATAGATGAGTTTGGTATAATAAGTTGTAAAATGCACGATCTCATGAATGAACTTGCAATCTTAGTGTCGGGGGTCGGAAGTGTCGTAGTTGATCTAAACCGAAAGAATTTTGATGAAAAGCTTCGTCATGTATCTTTCAATTTTGATATTGATTTGTCGAAATGGGAAGCGCCAACATCCTTGCTAAAAGCAAGCAAGATACGAACCTTTCTTTTTCTTCGGCAACAAGCTTGGGGTGAACACCAAAGTTCCTCACGTAATGCATTTTATACTACAATTGTTTCAAATTTTAAGTCATTGCGTATGTTGAGTCTTAATGAATTGGGAATTAAAAAAGTACCCAAATGTCTTAAAAAAATGAAACATTTGAGATATCTTGATCTTAGTGGGAATCCCATGAAGAGACTTCCAGATTGGATAGTTGGAATGTCGAATTTGGAAACACTAAATCTCAGTTGGTGTGAAAGGCTTGTGGAATTGCCTAGAGATATTAAAAAAATGATCAACTTGAGGCATCTCATCTTGGAAGGCTGTTATGGATTGAGTGGAATGCCACGTGGAATTGGTGAATTGAATGGTGTTCGTACATTGAATAGATTTGTTTTGAGCGAAAGCAATTGTTTGTGGAGGGGCGGTAGTGCTGGTCTTGCTGAGCTGGGGACCCTTAAGGAATTAAGGGGAGGGTTAGTCATTGACAATTTGAGGCATGTGGTGTCAGAATCAAATGTTGGTACACCTCTCAAGGACAAACAGCATCTTTGTTCGTTGGTTTTAATCTGGAAAGTGGAAGATATAAGCGCGGTTGATGAGGAGGATATTATAAAGTCAATGGAAGTATTGCAACCCCATTCTAATCTGAAGCAGTTGACCGTGCGGTGTTATGTTGGTGTGAGGTTTGCGAGTTGGTTTTCTTCTCTCATAAATATTGTTAATCTCGAATTATGGTGGTGTGAGAGATGCCAACGTCTTCCGCCCTTGGATCATTTGCCTTCCCTTAAGTCTCTTTATCTTAGAGGGTTGGAGATGTTGGAGTACATATCAGAGAATGAGAGCAGTAATAGTATGAGTGATGAGATGATGAGGATCTCATTCTTTCCCTCCCTGGAGACACTCGTGTTAGACAATTGCCCTGTTCTGAAGGGATGGTGGAGGGCCCACACTCATAACAATGCTGCTTCTTCTTCATCAACGGAAAATCTGTCGTTGCCTTCTTTTCCCTGTCTTTCTCAGTTGACTATCAGGTATTGTCCTAATCTTACTTCACTGCCAGAAGGGATTCGTGGACTCCCCTGTTTAAATACACTGCATATTCAGCGATGCCCCATGTTAAGCGAAAGATGCAAAAAAGAAACAGGTGAGGACTGGCCTAAGATTGCTCACATCCCACACATTGACATTTATTAAGGTGCGTTTTCTAACATGTCTCAATTCACACTAGCCTAATTCAATACAAACTATGAAATATTCAAACGCCAATCTCATTTCTTAATTTTATTCTTCATTCATCATCACCAGCATTTTATTTCTCTTTAATTTCCTTCTTTTCAATGATATAGTCTTACGTGCAGTGAATGGAGCATCAACCATTTGGATTCAATATGCGATGGCCTTGTTTACTGCTTGATCAAGTTGTATATAATTTTGCTTTTGATTGTCGGGGTTTAGATACAATGTTCCCCCCATTGTATGTTTTTTCTTTAAGTAATATAATATGGGCGTGAGGGCCTAGCCCCCCAGCTTCGACTGGGTTCCAGCCCTCTTTAAATATTTCTTTTTAATATTTGTTGATGTGAAGCAAAACAACCTTTTTCACGTTATAACATATAAGTCGCATAATTATTAATGCACTGGAGTAAAAAGAATTACCTCTATTAATTGTTATTGCACTGGAGTAACCAAATATTCTAAGACCGAAGGAACTCCAAAATCTAATCTGGATACAGCTCGGGACACAAATATTTGCTCCAAAACCCAAAATTAATCACAATAAACGCCACATTCTAAGTAAAGCAAATAAACTGATTATGTTTTGTCTAGTCACAAGTAAATTCATGACAACCGTTACAAAAACAAAAATATTTGTTGTTTTTCCTTAGTCCTCTCTCTTAGTTTCTTTGTTTTCTTTTCCTCGACCAATCAAATGGTCTCCATAAGTCAAAACAAATTCTTCAAACGTACCGAACGTTTACTAATATTTTTCTTTTCTTTTCATTTTTCATCTACTCAATTGAACCGGTCTCTTAAGTTTTCTTAATCTGCAATCAAAATCCTTTGGTTTCTTAAGTTTTCAATCAGACTACATTGCTTTCTTGAGTTCTCTTTTCCATCTTCTAATATTAGTCGCATATCTAAGTTCATTATTACACCACACCAGTTCGTACTTATAATATGTTATAGGTTTTATTGCTAAGAACTAAAAAGGGAAAAGTAAGGACCTTGATATTCACGCAGAGATCTTCCGTGTAGTTCTCTCGTATCTACAAACACAAACTTATCAACAGATTAGTGCAAGGAAAATTATTACGACCTCTGCAAAAACAAAATAAGAGATGGTTATCAAGCAGGCCCTTAAGTTAAAAGCCCTAGTGTTAAAGACAACTGTTAGCATCTAGCGTTAAAGACAGCTTACAGAAACTTGGTTTTTGTACACTTTCTTCTCCCTTCAATAACATTTGGTTAATGATACTCATGTGCAAAATGCTAATCCTATGGTCTAAAGCTAACTTCTAAAAATAAAAAAGTATACATAATAGTATTGGAAAATCAGAAACCCGAGCAATTTTTTATTTTTTATTATGAAAAATAAAAAATAAAATGGAGTGGAGTGGAAGCCAAGGAAGAGACTGACCTCCAACAACGGCGGCGGTCAAAAGAGCTTCCCAGAGCGACATGATCTCGCTGCCATGATAATCCTTTGTACACAGGCAATTCTAAAACCATAAGATAAACTTACTGATATAACAGAATGGTTAAACCCAAAGGTATTTAATTCAAACACAACTCAAACCCTAAGCACCATGATAATCCTCAAACCCGGAAAAGGGTGTATACTCACAATTGCAGAATCCCAAAGCCACGCTTGGAATGTCTGAAGTTGAGGCTTGAGCTTAAGTTGTTCCATGAGTGCATTAGCTTCTTTCCACTCATCTCAGCTTTCAATGTGGCATTTTCAACAGCCCAGATAGCATCATCCATCTAAAAATGTTGCAAAAGAAAATTGTTTTACCTCCTAAATCCAAACAGCAAAAGAAACAACAACAAAGCCTTTTCCCACTAAGTGGGGTCAGCTATATGAATCTCAGAACGCCATTGCACTCCCAAACAGCAAAAGAAAAAACGCAGAAAATTAAGTAAACAGAATGCAACTGAACTTGCACAGCTTGCTTCTCAAATTCACGAAATGTTGCTAGAATGTTGTAGCTGCATGGCAAATTCATCATGTAATTTCTGCTGCCAATGATTTTCTATCGAGTGAATTCATTTTGTGTTCAAATTCCAAGTAATTAATAATAAGAAGGATACCATGAATTTTAATACCGAAATCTGGTAATTAAAAATAAGAAAAATATCATGAATTTCATTTTGGGAAGCTGCTTTTAGCTTAGTAGCTCCATTTGGGAATGCAAATATGGCATCACGGTCAAGAGTCCGACCCAAAGGAAGTGAAAGCTTTTTTGACAGCTCAACATATCCTACAATGCAGCATGAAATAGAGTAAATGGAATAATAGTTGGTTTCCATTTAGAGCCTCAAAACCCCACGTTAGTCTTTCTCTTTCTAGAGAAAACAGCATCTCCGGTTAAAGTGAATTTGAACTTGACATCCATTCCTCCATCATACTTAGGAGCAACTACATCCTAAAAGTAAGTCCCCAGACGAACTTCCCGTCCATCCACTGCCGCCGGAGTCTTGAACTTAACAATTGTAAGTCTGCTCTTGCTACTCTTTCCTGCTCGTAATTGCAACATTTTGTTGTTATAGTCCTGCAATGCAAACAGTCAAAAGCTGCATAAGCAACTCTCGAAGGGTAAAATTCAAATCCAACATTGAACCAACCCATAAACTTAAAGACATCAAAACCGAAACCGATTACTAAATGTCAAAAAAAGTATTTCAAGGATATGGCAATAAGGATCACACCTGAAATGCTTTGGTAAGATTGTATACCCCTCTTTGATCAACCCTGTAGAGGTCTCCGCTGATAGTAGAGCATGCAGTAGCACAATAGATAATCTTGTTATAGCCCTGTACTGAGGCGTACAGGGTAGCAGGATCACCCGCATCCCCAGTCAATGGCAACACAGATATGAAAAAGGAGAGAAAATGATAACACCCACCGTTAAAAGGAGTAAATGCAGAGTTTAACACAGAAAACAATAAAAAATATCTTGCAAATTCTTGATTTATCGGTAATGCACATCAGAACCAAACAGTCAAGAAAATAATTAAAAACCAATTCTATATTTCTAATCAGATGATGTGCAATTTGTTTTTATTCGTCTTCAATTTGTGGCACTTCATTCTTAATAAAGAACATTTCACAAAATTCCAGATCTGCTACAACATCAAAGGACAGACCGAATAGGAAAACAACATCATTCATTGTCCAGATTGAAACAACATCCCACTAAAATTGACTACACATAAGAATCTCATTCCACAAATCTTCTTCAGTCTAGGCCTAAACAACTGCAAGCAAAAAAATCGCCAAGACACATACTTTCATCCAAATCATCCACCGCCATTAACAAAACCACAACCTATATATTCCTTCAGCTAAGATTAAAGCAAAAATTGAAACCCTAATCATTCTCAAACATGCTTTTGAAAGCAGAATAGAAAGGAAACTTGAAATTAGAGGGTCATACAGATTTGGGCTGGGGATTGGACTCGTTGTCGGAATTCACCTCTTCCTCTTCCTCTTCACATTGATTACCGAATAGGTTCTACATCACGTGGTGCCGCTTCTCCACCCCATCGCCGCTGTGATGTGTGCTGCGGTCGGAGCCCTCAAAGTACTGACATTAAATAGTTCATTTGATTAGATCATAGAAAATATCACCATAGTATCCTGCAAATTTCAAGAAGTGTGTGCCGAAACAAATCTGAAAAGGAATGAAAACCCTGTTAACCAAACCCATCAACAATAACATAAGCCTCACCAATCAGAAGCAAGCAAAAGCAATCCGACATGGTGAAATCCAGTCAACAAAACAAAAATCCCAAGATACATACTTTCATCCAAATCATGCACCGCAACGACAACACCACAACCTATATGTTCCTTCTGCTAAGATTAAAGCAAAAATTGAAACCCTAATCATTCACAAACATGCTTTTGGAATCAGAATAGAAGGGAAACTTGAAATTAGAGGATCATACAGAATTGGGCCGTGGATTGGACTCATGCTCGGAATCGCTTTATTCGTCTTCCTCTTCAGATTGATCACCGAATAGGTTCTGCATCAAAACCCACTATCAAAAATCATACAAAAATCAATGCATTCACCGAAAAATCTCTAAAACCCACAAACCCCAAAAAAAATAAAAATAAATAAATAATCATACAAATAACTCACCGTGCTCAGGTATACTAATTAAGATTAAGGGGTTTATATGAGCAAGAACACAAACAAACTTGGAAATGTCATACAATCCAAACCCACTTCCAATATTTAGCTATAACGAAATGAGGCCGTATCAGCCCAGCCAGAACCTTCTCGATAACCTCCTTCACCGCAAACTATCAATGCCAACACAAAAATTGAGAAAAAGTGCGAGTAAATTTGAGCTTGTGATTTTCTCCGAAACCAAACAGGGGCCTAGACAGATGCTGCGCGGGAAGACTTTCTAAAGGCGATCAAATTTGCACCTCAAGACAATGCTATTGCAAGAGAGCTACGTCTTCAGGCACGAAACGTGTAAAGCTGAGCGGTCAAAGATCTTAAGGCTTTTTTTCCCTTTCTTTTTTTGGTCGAAACATCTTAAGCTCTTCAATTGTATGATAAATGAGGAAATCCGTGTATTGAACTTGATGGCAAACAAGACTGATTTGTGACCTTAATGTCATCCCCAATTAAAAGGGTTATGTATATTTTGTGTTTTTTTCAGAGTTATAGAAAAATTAATTTTTATTGAACAGAGTTATGTTATATTTATATATTATTTTCAATCGAAATGATTAAATATAATCATTTACTAATTTATTAGTTTTAATTTTACTTTTTAAATTTATTTACTACTTATATCATGTGAAAATTAGGTTATTTAGACATAATCTTTTAGGTGGATAGAATGTGAAAAAATGGAGTAAAATGAGTCAAGATAGTAAAAATTCATGTTTTTTAAAATGGGTCCTGATTTACAATATGTAAACATAATGTATTTCTAAGGGCTCCGCATCTTTTTCAATTAAAACTAGGGTATAAGCACACACTTTGTGTGTGAACAATTTCATTTTCTTTTTTGTTTTTGATTAAGGAGTGTGATTAGGTTTGAAAATTTTTAAAAAAAAGTATGAGACAATGATGATGGGATCTCTTAAGAAAGGCATTTTTTTTTTAATATTACATAATTACCATTTTTCCCTCTTTGTGTAAATATTGTGTATCAAAAGTGAGGATAAAATAGGGAAATGGGGGTATGATTGTCATTTTGTTAGAAGATGCAAATTTACTATTTTGCCCGCCTTTTTGTCAAGTGTGTGTCTCAAAAGTGAGGGCAAAATTGAAAACAAAGTGGCAAAAAGTTAACAAGGTGTGTTCT